GATAAACATCGAAGGGACAGAGATAAAACATGTGAGATGGAGCGACAAAATTAAAAGAACTGCAGGGCCAATGTGGAAATGTCTTACAAACAATAAAGATGAATGGCGAGAATTAGGAGAGGCCTATATTCCAGAAATCCGAATAGAGAAAAGGGCTTGAAAAAAAATTATTTGGTCTGTCGTCAGCCTATTATTTCTGAATCCTGCCTGATATTCACCCAATATCTTTTCCGTGTATTGATTCAGCATTTTTCTTATGATGTTTGTCAATATTTTGTACACAACTTCTAGCAACGCAATATCTCTATAATTTTTACATCTCATTTTGTCACCTTTTTTATGTATAGGGCATATCCTTGCCCTGGCTCATTCTCCTGGCATTCTTTCTGTTTCCCATACACTTTCTTTTTATCAGGCTATGTATCTCCTTGTATAGTCTTTTTCCTCCTGCCTTTATCACTTCCGCCAATATTTCTGTTATTCCTGGCTTTTATTGTTTTTTAGTCCTCTTATTTCATTTTCTATTTCTTCCCTCATAGGTGTTTCTATTACTATATGATCTTCTTCAATTGACTGGATTATTTCCCTTTCTTCTTCGTTTTTGTTTAGAAGTTGTGTAAAGTAAGTTTGTCAATTTCTCATTATTTTCCCAGGTTCATTTATTAATATTCCTTCCTCATTCTTCATATATGGGTTATGCTTCTGATATCCCCTTCCCATTCTTCTTGTTTCCTGGTAAAAGGATCTTATTTCCTTTTTTGGAATTTTTCCTCTATCAATTTCCTTTCTCTTCATAATTCTCCTCAATTCTCTATATTCTTGTGTGCTAATGTCACTATTATTTCTTAAGTTTTTTATTCTTATTTTTATAATTTCTTCTGCTATTTTTTGACATTCCTCATCATACCATTCTTTTGCTTTTTGTTTTCTATTACCTCTAATAAATGTTTCTTTACTGGTGTTTAAAACTGCTTCTTTTATGCTTTCCCACTTTTCTTCCAGGTCTAGTGTTTCTGGTTCTTTGTTTAATCTGCTGGTTATTCGTTGTTTGTACTTCTTCTGTGTCGTATTATCTTGTAGTATTGCTGTGTTGAATTGGTTTTTAATTTCTTTGTCCCTTTGATTGTCTTTCTTTATATTAGCATTTATTTTATAACCAGCTCTTACCAAAAAGTGATCTGAGTCACAATCTGCTCCTCTCATGCTTTTTATATTTATTATATTATGGGTGTGCTTTTTCCTTATTAATATGTGGTCTATTTGATTTATTGTCCTTTTATCCAGGGAAATCCACATTCCTTTATGTATATCTTTTCTGCGTTGGTGTGTGCTTTTTATTACCATTTGTCTTTCTGTTGCAAAACCTATAATTCTTCTCAAGGATTTAGTTCTTAAAAAACATTAAATTTATTCAATAATTAAGCTCAAAATGTCGGATAAACTTTAAATTAGTAAGACTATCTATACTAAGTTGTAAATTAATCCAAAAGGGTAATTGTGAAGTAGTTGTAAGTTGAATAGTGTGGGACAAGCACTAGTCAATGTTTTAATAAAAATGTGATCTTATTCACATTTGCACCTAATTCTGTTATGAAGTATTCTTAGGAAAATCTTAAGAGTGTGGTTTATAATGCTGATAAATTGATATTCTGATCACTTCCTAGCATTGTATTTTTTAGGTATTGCAACAAAGACATACTTGAGCCAGTATGTGCCTCAACTTCACATATTTAGGCGTTGATTTTGATACAGGAAACAACAACAGACACATCAGAAAGTGAATAATACAATCCAGAAGAACAATAAAAAAAAGTTTAAAAGGAATATAGTGGTGCTCTGATATGGAAAAACAGCAGAATTATAACACTTATGAAATCATAAACTGAAACTACGAAAGTAGTTCAACCCATCTAACCTGCGCAAAGATGTGTTCAGTATTATTTCAAATAATAAAGAAAATAGATTACCTTGTTTTATTTCATTTCCAACAGATGCAGAACCAATATCAGAGAAATTATTGCCAACTTCTCTTATATATTTGTGTTTTCGAAGCGAGTAATGCTTCTTTTGACATGAATCAGCATCATGATCAATATTCTTGGATCTTTTTGTAGCAACCGACTTCATTTTATTTTCCATCGATTTTTGTCCTACAATGAAAATTTTGGAAGGTAAGTAATGTAGGTATGGAAGTAATGTAGTGATGTTGTGTTTTTACACATGTCATACACTCTACTGATTAAAATAATGAAATTAACATAAATTCTAATTATAGCCTTAAAACATAGACATACAGTTTTAGAATAAGTGTATATTAATAACAATAGTGTAATAAGGAACACAGAAAACAATGTGCCCTTTATATGGGATTAAGCCATAATTTATTGTAATTAAAATTATATTTTTAATTAAATAAAGTTTGATCTTTCATAACCTATTAACAACTTGTTGGTTATATCATTATGTTCCCAGAATTTGTTAAAAATAATATTTTTTGAGAACAATTTCCGGAGTGGAAATCAAAACGTCAAAATTTATTTAGTTAAGTAAATGTCCCTTTATTTTACGAAACCACCTAAACCAAATCGAGAGATACCTTGCATGAAACATGATTTGCGAAAAAACACTTGTTAAAAAAAGAAATTGTTAAAGTGTAATGTTGCTGATTAATCGTAAAACAATGTAAAAAAAGCCTATAAATAATATATATTAGTATGTAGTAGTTTTGGTATCTTTATTGTAAACCGGTATCTAAAACCGGCAGATTTGACATACTCGATTTAAATATCTAAATAACTGACGTGGGATCCGTTGTTATTAACTTTATTAGATAAAATAAATTAAAATACATACCTTTTGTACTTCCCTTAAATATTAATGCAACAAAATTAATGTTAACTTCTAATTATTATTGTATTAGCAGTGGGTCCATTAATATTTTTCTGACTTTTCAATAAATTTTTACGTTTTCCCTCTTTTTCAATTTAACTGAATGAAGTTAGTCGATGTCATATTTTGTGACAAACTGTGTGACAATTAGGAATATGTAACCTCAATCACTACAATATGCGTCTATATTCGTTGCTGTCACTTTCAGTGCGGTTCACAGTATATACCACAAATAGTACCGTAAGTGGAATAGAAAAGGTGGGAAGAGTGAATTGTATGGGCCCAGCCGTTCGTCTTTGCAAATTACAAATGACGTTATAAAAACATCAAAATCAAAATTTTTAGAAATATGAGATAAAAACAGTATTCATCAATTTTTACATCTAGTAAACATTGCTAAAAGAGAAAAAGCTACAATACTGAAATGGTATCGTCACAGATTAAAAGAATTCTTAAGCAATATACTGTGGTATAGTTAGTATTCCAAAACGAAAAAACCAAAAGAATATTTTTGTGGATGGGTGAAAATTAATTAAAGTTGAACAAAGGGCTATTAAACATTCTGAGGATTAGGAGTTTTTAGGATTAAACTTTTGTTAGTAAATACAAACTCAATACTATTTTGTATATTATGCTATATATTTTTTAAAATCATTAGGTAATACTCTTAACTCTTATACTGACCTTCCTAAAACTTCTACTTTTGAGCAATAGTTACATACTAGTTTGTGATGATCCTGCAGTGCAAGATCGCAGAAATGCTAGAGTTTGCACTTTATAATCTACAGATGGTCCTTTAAGGAAAAGTATTTTAGAAGGTATGGAACTTATAACAAACCAGTACTAATGAATATCTATATTTGTTTATCAATAGGAAGATCTCGCAACACGATGGGAAGATTAAATGAAGATTGGTGGAAAAATCCCTACATGAAGTTGTCCATCGGGTATAGAATCACAGCCAATTTGCCAATGGAGACAGCAAGCTAGACTATTACCACCCACACATAAGCAATATACTAGAGAACTAACGAACACAAGTTCTCTGAATATACTGTACCCACACCCTGACAAAGGCTTAAAGGAATGAGGAGGAGGAGCACAATACATATCCAATATACTATGAGGAGGAGGAGTATATACTATGAGGAGGAGGATGATATTTGTTGCCAATATTTTACCAAAGAAAATTATACAAAAACAAGTGTCAGGGTATCTGTGTTTTATTTTGTTGTTTTCAGGATTTTGGTTTGTTAATGTAATGGACAAGAGATATAGTCACAAAATAATAAATAAAAACTTTCCTTTACTATAATACTTACTCCCTGTCTTATATTGTTAAACATTTATATATAAAAATGCGTAAGTGTATACTATATTTTCGGACAGAAAGAATATATTTTTTGGCTTAGAAGAAGTTTTTATTTTTTATTTTATGACTATATTTATTTTCCATTAAAAGCATACTTTTGAATTTTGCCGCCTTAAATTTAGAGCATGTTTTTTGAATTTGCCGTCTAAAATTCCGAACTTGCATTTTAAATTATTTGCCGTCTAAAATTCCGAACTTGCATTTTAAATTTGCCGCCAAATAAAATTAGTTACGCCCCGTCCACATTTGGCGCTAGAATCTCTCTCAAAATCTTTCTATGCGACTTACCTTACTAGAGAGCTATGCGCTATGGTGGTAGTTGTTGTTTCTATTTACCGTGGAGGGGTCGTGTCCTAATAATGAGATCGGTATAATTATATTTTATTCTATATGAATTTTACTTTCGATAATCTGTGGTTTTATTGTGAAAAGTAGTATGTTTTACTTTTAAATAGAAATATAATTGTGAGATCTAGATAAAACATTGGTCTTTCAATGTTTATAGAAACAATATCTATGAAATAATGTTTCTGATGATTGTAAATTCTGCTCCCCCTTTTTTGTTTAAATGGAAATTAAACATAAAGAGTCAGTGTTTAAAAAGAAAAAGATTCAGTTAAAAAATTATATCCAGGAAAAACTGTTTATGCTCACTCTTATTTGTTAAAATGTGAAAAGTACTTCATTGAAGTTGTTTTGAGTTTAAAATGTGCATTTAAACAATATTATTACAATAGCTATGGGGTGGATGACGTGTTGCCAATGCAAATCAAATGAGGCAAAAGTGGTAGAATTGGATTTTTCAAGATGTGGAATCTCAGAAATACCAAATGAAGTATATGCTAATTCTCCAACATTAGAAGTCTTGCATTTAGAAGGAAATAAAGTAAGATATTTATAGACTAAGTTAGAACTACTAGAACAAATACTGAATGTAACATCCAAAAATTAGAGTTAACTATAATTATTCTTTAATAGGTTAGGATCATGTTAGGACCTTTGAGGAGTTAATCGTTAAAGGTTGTACTTGTGTGTCTAAATTTATGTGGTAGTTTCTTCGACTGTTTTGTTATGTAACTTAAATCATGGTAAACACACTCTATACCCCATCAATACTTATCTCTATAGCTTCACCAATATTTTTTGATTAATATAATTAGGTTATTTATAAAAGAATGTTATCTTTTCTTAGTAAATATGATATAAAAAAATTCACATCAGCATGAGTTTCTACCAAGTAAATCAATGGAAAGTGCACCCACAACTTTTTTCATTGGTATTCAGAGTTCAGTAGTTCAAAGAAGATTCGTTAGAGCATTCTTTTTTTATTTAACTAAAGCATTTGACTCAATAAAATCAAATCTGGTAGTTGGTAAACTGAACAAACAGACAAATATCTATTAAAATAGTCACCTAAGGATGATTTTTGTTGAGAAGTGAAAAACATTCTGATAATATTTTTAATTTAGTATGCTATTGGTATTTATCACTGCAGTAGTAATCAGTTTCGAGATTATTTTCTGTATAATATTTTCCATATATATATTTTCTGTAAATTTTTCAGAGCATTAATTAAAATCATGAGCCCATTGTAAATTAGGATTCCTCTGAATAACAGATGAATGATTCTGATTTTAATTTGAGATATGATAGAAAGTTTTTTTTTATCTTTTTATATTGTTATTATTACTATGACCTTTAAAATCCATTATGTAAATAATCTTTATATTATTTTTTTTTTTAGCTAAAGGACTTATCTCCACAGTTATTTCAGTGCATTGATTTAAGGTACCTTAATATAAGTGATAATGAAATCCGAGCCATACCACCATTAATATCAAAATTGACCAATCTACAAGTTTTAATATTTAGTAAAAATGGTAAGTGAAATTCAATATTATTACATGTTACATTAGGCAGCATTATTTAATATTTTTGAAACAATCACTTTTTTACCTATATTTTTTATTTTTTGGGTTTTTTTTATCAGTAACATTAGTAAAAGGCAGGCATATCTGAACCCAACTGACATTATTTGTTACTAAAAAATAATAGAAGTCGTAATTCATTTCCATTTCACTTCTTAATAAAGTTCCAGAATTGTATTATATTTTGTTGGTCCATTAGTGAATATTCAGATTTATCAATAAAATTCAAATATCACATTTTTGATAAAACTTTACATTCAGAGTGCAAGCTGTTGTAGTAAATATAATTACTGATAGGGTTATAAGGTTATTTAATCCTGAATTCTTATATTTTTAATGGAAAAACGATGACGAAACAGGCAATGAACAAGGACATGAGTGGTAGTAAAGCACTATACAAAGACCAGTATGTAAACTTAAATAGAAGATGAGACACACTTACAAATACACAAAGCAACTGCAATCAATGAGATTAAAAGTGAGAAAACAACGGCAACTCAAAAAACCAGAATACCTGAAGGATGGACAATAGGAACGTAAGAGGTCTCAACGACAAGGAGGCTGAACTTATAGAAGAATTTAATAAGGCTAAAATAGACATACTAGGAATCACAGAGACCAAAAGAAAAGGTAAGAGCAAACAGTTTTTAATACTCAGTGGAGCACCCTCATCAGAAAGAGCATGTGAAGGAGTTGGTTGTCTCATCAATAGAAACCTGACTAGTAGTATTAAAGATTGGGAATGTATTACCTAAAGGATCCTAAAAATTAGAATGACAACTGAAGAGAAGAAACTAGTCAACATCTTTGTTATATATGGACCAAACAATACCAAAAGAGCGAACACCAAGGACATTTTTTGGGAAAAGGCGATAGAGATCATAGATAGCGCAGAAAGTAACATAATAATAATTGGCGATCTCAATGGTAGAGTAGGCGTAAAAGACCAAGAATCCTCCGCTGTACTAGGACAACACAGAGAACAAGTAATAAACAATAATGGTCAACGAATTATAGACTTTTGTAGAGAGAATGACCTGATAATTATGAATTCGTTTTTCCAACACAAAGATGTGCACAAATATACCAGAGAAGTCAAGAGTAGAGGAGAAAAGTCCATTATTGACTATGTAATGGTCAAGATGTCAGAGTCAGAAGGGGAGCAGAAATATATAGCGACCATTATCTGGTAGTATCCCGAACTAGTATCAGTGTGGAACAAAAACGCACGCAGAAGGTACCAAGAAAAAGAGACAGAACCCCAAGAAACCTCACCAACGCAGTTATTAGGTCATACAAGTTAGCAGATAAGAAAATAGCACAGAAATACAAAAGCTATGTGAACAATAGTCTAAAAAAGCACTTAAACCAGAACTATGGCTTAGAAGAAACTTAGCAAAAACTTAAAGAATCTCTCCTAGATGGGGGCAAGCAAATCTGCGGAATAGCTAAAATCAATAAAAACAGACAATGTACGAATTGGTGGAATAATGAAATAAAAGAAGAGGTCAAATCCAAGAAGTTAGCGTGGAAGAAATATCTAGGGAACCAGAATGCAGAAAGCTATTAAAAATATAAGCAACAGAGGGCAAAAGTAAAAGACATGGTGATTGAAGCAAAAAAGAAGAGCTGGGAGGATTTTGGGAATAAGCTGGAGAAAGACTACCACTCTAACCAAAAACTATTTTACAAAACTCTGAGAAGCCTAAGAACAGAGAACAGACAACAAACACCAAAACAAATTAAAAACAAAGATGGCCACATCCTCTGCGAGAACGAAAGTATTATGAACACATGGAGAAAATATTTCAAAGACCTTCTGACTCAAAAAGACTATAATAATGAAATAGACAACACTGAAGAAAACCCATATGAGAACCCAAACCAAAACGAAATAACAATAGAAGAAATAAGAGAAATAATACTCAAGCTCAAAAGAGGAAAGGCAGCTGGCTATGATAAGATAACTGCGGAAATGCTAAAAAATATGGGAGAAAATGGAAATGAAATGCTTAGAAAAGTTTGCAATAAAGCATGGAATGAGAACAAGATCGCAAAAGACTGGGAAGTGGGCGTTATTCTACCTTTTTTCAAAAAAGGTGACAGACGAGAATGCAGCAACTACAGAGGTATAACTCTCCTGAGTATCCCCTCCAAAGTTTACGAACGAGTATGGGAGTAAAGACTACTACAAGAAGTAGACCATAATCTGGAGCAGTCACAGAGCGGTTTCAGGAAGGGAAGAAGCATCCATGACCATATTTTTACACTAAAGCATCTAATACAAAATGCAAGAAATACAAGCACAGAACTATACTAAGCCTTCATATACCTCGAAAAAGCATTTGATAGAACCCAGTGAACCGAAATAGACAAAAGCCTAAGAAACAGAGAAGTAGACAGCAAACTCAGAAAAGTTATTATGAGCCTATACAAGAACCAATTATGTAAACATAGAACGAGGAGTGCGTCAAGGCTGCATTCTGTCCCCTCTTCTATTTAATGTCTATGCCGAAAATATCATCAGAGCTTCTCTTGAAGATCGCCCTGAAGGTGCCAGAGTCAATGGAATCATCATTAACAATGTAAGATATGCCGATGACACCGTAGTATTAGCAGAAACAGAAGACCAACTAAAAATATTGATGAACATACTATCAGAAGAAAGTCACAGACTAGGTTTGGATATTAATCTTTCCAAAACCAAAATCATGGTATTCCACAAGAACCCCCATGAACAAATTACGCCCAACATACAAATCAATGGTATCACCCTTCAGAGCTCTCAAGCTTCATATACCTGGGCAGAGAGCTAAACAGTCAGCTAGACCACTCAAAAGAAATTAGAAGATGTATTGAAATAGCAAGATCTGGCTTCATGAACATGCGTAAAATGCTCTGTAACCCCAAGCTATCAATCACAATAAGGTTAAGAACACTAAAGTGTTATGTGTGGTCTCTACTACTATATGGCTGTGAGACCTGGACATTAAAACAGTATGACGTCAACAAACTGAATTCATTCGAAATGTGGATGTACCGCCGAATGCTAAGAATAAGCTGGACCAGCATAACTACAAATGAAGAGGTACTGGAAATAATGAACACACGACCTCATCTGGTTAATACAATCAAAATTAGAAAGATAAACGATAAATTGGTAGACAAGGTAGAATTGAATGGCCTCCACGTTCACCCGATCTGAATCCTAAAGATTATTTTTATTAGAGATACTTGAAAAATTCAGTTTACAAAACTTAACCAGCAAGTCTTGCATAGCTATGGCAATGAATTATCGATGAATCTCGAATAATTTCTAGACAATCATGGAGAAATGTGGTAGACTCATTCTACCATCGATTAAAGTGCTGTCAACTCACAAATGGAGCACATTTTGAACACTTAATAACATAACTTTTATGTTAAAAATATTATAAACTATCAATTGTTACGTTTTAATGTATTTCAAAATAGTTAGTAAAAAAAATGTATTGAAACAATTTAGGCGTTGCCAGACTTCTGTTTTATGTATTTATGACCTTCCAGATTACATAAAATCATAAGTGTTACATATGGTTGAACTCGTATTGAATAGGAGATTCCAATAATGACTGAATATACAGGGTGATGTATTTGAAAAACCAAAGTTACTAGTAATATAAGAGAAAATGAAAATCTGGCAACATTGCAAATGCCAAATATGGAATCTCTGTATCCCAAAAAAGGCGTATCTCAAATTTTGTATAATTTACGAGATAATTAGCCGTTTCCAGACTTTGTGGGCCACTATAATATATATATATATATATATATATATATATATATATAATATATATAATATATATATATATATATATATATATATATATATAGATATATATATATATATTATATATATATATATATATATATATATATATATATATATATATATATATATATTACTATATATATATATATATATATATTTATATATATATATATATATATATATATATTTTATATATATATATAATATATATATATATATATATATTATATATATTATATAATATATATATATATATATATATTAGTGATGTAACGAATATTCGCATTCGCGAATATTCGCATATTTTTGCATATTCGCATTTGCATTCGCATTCGCAAAATTTGTGCGAATGTTTTGCGAATATTACACAGCTTGCATTTAGCTCGTTCAGTATCGAAAAGTGGTGAAAAATAAGTCCATATTTCACTATAATTTGATTTACTCATTAGTAATAAATCGCTAATCACACTTTAACTAAAAATTCACTTGTATTTGTGCACGAGCAGAGCAGGGCAAGTGGAGTGACTTGTGTCCCGTGAAATTTTTATTGGAACTATAACCAGAGAACTTAGTTCTCTGCTATAACTTTCTCTCTATAACAAGTCAAATTTGATTATAACAAGAGAAAATAAGATCGAAAAACGTGCTTTCTACGTTTTTGGCCCGGACGTGACTATAAATAAATACCTTTTTAAACGACCCCTCAATAAACTTAACCGCCTACAATAAACTTCTTTACAATAAATACAACTGTTTCACATCTTTACTTTAGCAAATATGATAGAATGATACTGGACAATTTAAAGCAGTTAAAAATGACAGACTTTTTCCAATTGCCTACACACCTCGCGCAAATGAGACTGCCGGCAGTGCCGGAGACAATTAAAATTGCCAAATTAAAAAAAAAACTGAATATTCGCATTCGCATTCGCGAATGTCGGTGGCATATATTCGCATCGCATTCGCATTCGCGAATGTTTAAAAAATGACATTCGTTACATCACTAATATATATATATATTATATATATATATATATATATATAATATATATATATACTTATGTAAACAAATGAATATTTCTTTTGTCACGCATCATACTTTAGTATTGATGTATATACATTCTTTTACATTACATCGATTCATTTTGACACTAAATTCACAAAAAGAACAGAAACTATTTTGAGATTCACAATTGAATTGCTTGCGTTAACCTTCAACGGCACGAAAAAAATATGAGCTTCGAACATTATCGGCGGTTCTCGTCACGATACGAAGCTAATGTCGACTCAAATTGGTGGAATCGCTTAGGTAGGTATAAAGAAGAATTTGCACGCTGCGCAATGAACGATGTTCCATCTCGGGTTTCTTTAATCTAAGATTTGAATTCAGGTGTTATTTCCTTTTGTATATTATATGATATGATCCTAGTTGCTGTATTATTATCACAATTTAAATAATTGCTTCCATTTACTTACACTTAATAAACTTTTTAAACAGTTTTAGATGGAGTTCACCCAAATTTAGATAAATTAAGTAAATTGACTATGTTGGACTTAAGTATGAATGATCTAGGTAAAGTTCCGGAAGCTGTTATGAGCCTTATTAACCTTCAGCAACTTTGTTTAAATGATACAGGCATAGATTTTGTTCCTGCTAATATTGGTCGATTATCAAACTTAAGAGTGTTGGAATTAAGAGATAATAATATATCAGAACTGCCAAAATCCATCAGACGTTTGACTAATTTACAGCGACTAGATGTTAGTGATAATAATTTATCGAATTTGGTGAGTACTATTATTTTTATATAAAAACTACAAAAATTTACTATATAAATTTCCCCTAGAATGCCACAAATACGGGGTCTGGCAATTAAATAACGAGACTGCTTATGAAAAAGAGTTATTTTAACAATTATTCCACAATCGAATGCTCTCCTTCAATATATTCCCCTTCCCTCGCCACACACGTCAGTCTTCGTTACTCGATTCGTTTTTTCCACTTTCCGTCGACTCAAACGGATTCTTTAAGCAACTGATCTCGGAAACAGAAAAGTCACTTCATCGGTGGGTGTTAGCACTGATACCTACGGCTAATAACACTTCCAGACACCGTTAGGAGTGCGTGTACTGGCAAGATCCCTTGTTTTTCCACTCGCGTTTTACGACTCGCTCCAGCGTTGCCAAAATTCAAAATAAGTTGGTTACAGTTTACCCGAACCCATATCACACATGCCGTTATGCGAAAAAAACATTAGCATGGCTTTAAATGTTGATTTAGACATCCTTGCTTCTTTCATTCTGGCGATGCAGGAGTTTTCCAGTGCATGGATTGTCGCTTAGTTTCAACATCGAATTTGAATATCCAGGTTTCATCGCAAGTGTTAATATTTTCCATTAATTAGTCTCTTCATGTAACCTCTCAAGAAAATCTGAGCAGATCTGTTGACGGACGAGCCTTTGGTTAGGGGTCAAATTTTTTGGGACCAACTTCGCACAGACTTTCTTCATATTCAATTCGTCATGTAAATGTTTTCTGACAGTTTCTTTATCGGCGTTTACAGTCTCAGCAATCATCCGAATGTTCACACGACGATCTCCGCACACAATTTTATTTATTTTGGTCACTGTTTGCGGAGTTGAAACAGAGACAGGTCGACCTGGACGTTGGTAATCTTCGGCGCTCTCTCGGCCTTCAGAAAACCATTTATACCATTCGAAAACACGCGCACGAGATAGAGAATTCTCATCATAGGCCTCTCAACAAATTATAGCACTCAGTCGGAGTTTTTTTAATTTAACGAGAAATTTCACATTAATCCGTTGCTCATGTTTTCGTCACACATTGTTATCGGTACGAGAAAAAATACTTTCTATTTTAACTTCTACAGAAAAAATACTACTACAGCGACAAAAATGTGTTTTCGTACTGGAAGAGTAGACACTTCCAGCTATCCAATGCTGCATTCGTTTCTGAATCTTCCCCCTAGGACGCCTTCTGCGTGCGCAGTCTCGTTACTTATTAGCCAGACCTCGTACACTAATTATGTAATTATACAAACAAATCTCTTACTGAAAGTGGCACATCATGTTTTTTTTCAAATCAATATGGAAGGAAACAAGTTATAATGACTGAAATTTGGTGAATATCAACCAGTAGAACAGGCTGGATTTAGAAAGGATTAACAGCACTTGTCACCACTTGCACACCATAAAAATTTTAATAGAAAAGACAAATTAGTATAATCTTTCTAATTAATAATTTTTTAACTTATTATTTATGTTGTCTTTCATTTTAGACAGAACTATGCGAATCTCATGGAAATTTGACAGAATTATGGATTAATGGTAATAATATATCTGAACTCTCTGTAGCTATAACACACTTAAAAAAGATAAATGACTTTGATGCTTCATACAATAACTTGGAATCCATCCCAAAGGAAATAGGGCATTGGACAAAAATCACAAATTTAATTTTAAGCTTTAATAATTTAATCTCACTTCCTAAAGCTGTAGGAAATCTTAGAAATTTGCAAGTTCTTAAACTTGAGTCAAATTTATTAGAAGAACTGCCCAGTACTGTTTGTAAATTGGTTAATTTGGAAGAACTTAATTTACAGAACAATTCTTTGATATCAATTCCTAGTGGCATAGGTCATTTACGAAAATTGGCTACACTGATTTTGTCAGATAATAAATTACAACAGCTACCAGCAGGTAAGTTACTTATTCTAAGTAGTATCGATGAATGATAATCCATGTATTATTTTTATATAGAAAAAAATGATGTTATTATGTCTATCCGCCAACATATTGATTAAAATACCTCTGGATTACCAGTACCAGTGGCCTTTTGTGGTATGGAAGCCTCAATTTGTATGAATATCAATACTACCAATATTTATGCATTTCTAAATTCTAAATAAGTAATTTCTAAATAAAATCAGGCGTTTACAAGATATTGTAAATTCTGTGTTATCAGACCTTCTAATGGAGTGGTCATTATAGAAATATTAACACAGGATACTATTATTTTTCTAATAACCAAAAGCCCAGAATATTATAGGGGGTTGCTACAGCCAGGTAAATTGTATGTGAAACCTGGAAAGTGACAAACACCCTCACAGACAAACTGCAGGTCTTTGTTAACAAATGTCTACGAAGAATTGTTCGTATATTCTGGCCTAACACCATCAGAAACGAAGATCTGCTTCACCTGATCGAACAAAAGAGGCTACAAAATGAAATTAAGTCCAGAAAGTGGGGTTGGATCGGTCACACACTCCGAAAAAATAGTTTCCAGTATCGCAAACACTGCCCTAGAATGAAATCCCCAAGGGAAAAGAAAAAGAGGTCGCCCAAGTACAAACTTGGAGAAGATCCATCATGGACGAGATAAGAGGCCAAGGTAAGTCTTGGAATGAGGTGAAGGTCTTAGCGCAAAATAGAACCCGATGGCGCGTTTTCACTGAAGATCTATGCTCCACTTAGGAGTTCAAGAACCTTATATGTTCGAGCATTGATATTTCCTATCGCCACCTATACTTCAGAAACTTCGACAATAAAAAAAGCCGATTTAAAGCGTATAATGGCATTTGAAATGTGGATCTACCGTAGAATGTTGCGCAAACCATGGACCGCCTATCGCACAAATAACTCGATTCTAGCAGAACTTAACAAAAACTTAGTCTCATCACAATTATCAACCAAAATATACTGAGATATTTTGGACATATAACTAGAAGAATAGAAGGATGCAGCGACTAGAGAGTTATCAAGTAAAATTTTATCCTTCCGTTATTTTGACACGTAAACGCTATTTTTTTACGGTATAAAGTTTTAACGGATATGTAATTTTAGAGTTATCAAATGGTGGAATTGGTGCTTCACGTTAATAGTTGGCAGCTGTCAGACAAATGTCGTATTTGACAGCAAAATAATTAATTTTTTTTTATGTTTTCTTTCATCCAAGGTAATATTTTATCTTATTTTGTACATTTTGCGTTTCAAATTTTTTTCTACAGAAATATGGAAGACATTTAGAACAAGCAATATTAGTTGAAGCAAATGACAAAGTTATAGAAGATTTAATACTAAATCATCTTGTAAACATCAACATAAAATCATATTTTAAATAATAACATACAAAATGTACATTCTGTGTTCAATTTTGATAGCTTAGAGCCTGAGCAAGCCAAACATCTTTCATATTTTCGGTTGAAAAACAGGGCATTCCAGAGTGTTGACTCCTCGCACTTCTTTACTAGTAAAAGGTTATCAGTGCTTGTAAAACGCAGCCTTTTTTGTCTTTTTTACTATTTCCGTGTTTATAATTGATAAATATAATGAAATATAATAAAATGTTTTATTTCTCTCGCAGATGCTTAACCAAGAAACGGAAAACACATGTTAACTAATGAACAGAAATAAAATTACAGAACAAGAGTGACAGAGCTTTAATCTCCGAGTTCCGAGTCTTGACGAATTGATGCGATTCGCTGCTAACGTTACCGTATATCAAACCCGTTATTCGACGTATGGTAACGGAGCCGTAAACGTTAAAATCATTTACGTTATTCACATTTCATACTGAGCATGCTCCGCTGTCAAAATAACGTTACCGTATTCTCACTCTTTCACTTGATAACTCTCTATTGATAGTTGAAGGTAACGTAGCGGGTAAAAGATCCACAGGAAGATCTCCAGTACGATGGTCGGACCAAATAAAGGACATGACTGGTTACTCATTCTCCGAAGGAAAACAACACGCACAGGAGAGAGATAATTGGACAGCAATAGTCAAACAAATTACATGACGCCACTACATCCTTACGAAGGAGAAAAGATTGAGGAGAAGGATATATATATATACATTAAATGTTCATTGTGATAACTAACCAAACCTTATATTGGGAATGTGATGCTATAAGTGCCACGTTATTCAGCATGGTGACCACGCTACTACCAACTCATATAAATAACAGAACTCATGGCCTGCTCTGATAACGATTTATATGACTCTATATACATATAGTACATAACTGTTTTACTAAGGGTTCCGATCCGAAGCCAGAAAGATTAATATTTTATTTTTCTTATGCATATGATACTACTCATATACCGGGTGGTCCTTAAGTAATTGTACAAAAAGAAACCGTAGATTCTACACTTTTAACTATTACGATTTAAGCCAAATTGCTTTAATAAAATATTGATATTAAGAAAGATACAGAGTGTTAAAGTGGAAATTTAAAATTTTAATTTTCGCTATAACTTTCATGTTTGTAAAGATTTATGTATCAAAATTCATAACGTGGTACTATTGAACAGCAGAAATTATAATTTGATGCATACTTTAATGTAGCTGATAGAGGGCGCCACATATGCCACATAAGTGGCATATATTTGCACTTACCTTTTTTGCTCTTTAAGATACTGGTGTTTGTGATAAAAAATATTAAAGATACAGTATTTTAACAAAAAAAGGTATACCTGTTAATAACTTCAAAACTCAAACGTTTTCGAGATAATCGCATTTTACAAATCAACTGCATAATTCAGATTGAACGCAATTACTCCAGACAACGAAAGAAAATTAGACAAAAATATCAATAATTCTGAATTTTGCTATAGAATGCCTTTAATAAAGTTAATAGTTAATGAAATATTAAATAAAATAAATATATCAGCAGGATAGTTAATAGTAGGATTTGATAAAATAACAGAATAATTAACAAGTATACCTTTTTTTTTGTTAAAATAATGTATCTTTAATATTTTGTATCATAAACACTGGTAATTAAAGAGAAAAATTAAGTGCAATGTATGCCACATATGTGGCATTGGCCCTCTATCAGCTACATTAAAGTATGCATCAAATTATAACTGCTGCTATTCAATAGCACCCAGTTATGAATTTTGATACATAAATGTTCACAAACATGAAAGTTATAGCGAAAATTAAAATTTTAAATTTCGCCTTTGAACACCCTGTATCTTTCTTAATATCAATATTTTATTAAAGCAATTTGGCTTAAATCGTAATATTTTAAAGTGTAGAATCTACGGTTTCTTTTTGTACAATTATTTTAGGACCACCCTGTATAAGATTGCCAATCGGAGGTATCAGGGACAAACATATTTTGACCAGTATGTAATAGGAGGAGAAAAGAAATATTTATTATTTGTTTAATTTATAGCTACATCTATGAATGGGTAAGTTCTCTTATGATCATAATTTTTACAGAAATTGGAAGCTGCTGCGCATTGTCAATACTTAATGTTCATAATAATCAACTTGAAAGACTGCCAGATGAGGTTGGCCATCTCCAAAATTTGACCACCCTCGGTTTGATAGGAAACAAGCTCTCTTACCTTCCAATCACAATATCGAAACTCCGAAATCTGAAAGCGTTATGGTTGACACCAAATCAAACTCAACCATTGATCCATCTTCAAAATGAACAATTGTCTGACGGGCAAATAGTACTAACTTCCATTGTATTTCCACAAACTCCCCTTAGAGAACCACATCATGTACCAATGTCAGTGGGAAATCAGAATTGCCACATTACTTTCAGTACTGAGAGGAACGATTCTGATGTAACAGAGGCCCATTTGTCACTTAGTAGGACCCCTACTCCTCATCATAAGGAATTAAAAAGATTGAGGGAAATTTTGAGGACATCCCATACTCCTGGAAAAAGAGTAAGTATAATAACACATTTATATTCCCATCTCTCTTCTCCGAGAGCCCTCTAGGTACATGGTTTTACTTTCGTTTTTCTAGGACAGAATTCTATTTGCTATGGTAATGACCTGTTAAATCTCTTTAATGCTTAAATAAATACACTTCTTCAAGAAATTAACGCCGCACCACTTTGAAATATTAAAATATTTTATTATCGTTAATAAAAATTTCGATTGTAATGTTATATTTTGCAAGCCCCTTGTATATGCTATTCGTACACTCTATATTTATTGACTGTGTTTTATCGCTATAGTTTTTTTTTGCAACAAAACAAAAAGAAGCAAAAAATGTACTAATTCTATAAATATACTAATTTCCAAGTGTTCACGAATTTTATTCGGCTACTGTTTAATTGTTGATTATTGTTAATTGTGTTTATTATGGAGCGTCAATCACGTAATTTAACCCGAGATGAATGTGCCCAAGCAGTGATACTGTCGGAAGAAGGTTGGAGTTACGAAGAATTGGTCGTCGGGTTAATGTGTCCCACACATCCATCTCACGGGTGTTAGAAAGATTCCTCGAAACAGGGAATCATACTCGCAGACCAGGACAAGGACGAAACCGGGTAACTGCCCCTATTGAAGATCGATTTTTAAGAATTTCTGCTCTTCGACAACGTTTTGTAACACATCGAAGTCTACAAATTTAGCTTCGAGACGTGCATGCTATACAAATTAGTACTGAAACTGTTCGTCAACGACTTAGGGAATACAACCTAACACCTAGGATTGCCGCCCGAGGTCCTCTATTAACTGCAGATCATCGAAGGGGAGACTACATTTTGCCAGAGAACACGTTAATTGGTTAGAGGCTGACTGAGAACGAGTGCTATTTACTAATGAATCCCGATAACGACAGACGTGTTCGTGTGTTGCGACGACCCAACGAACGATATGCTCAGTGTAACTTCTCACACACCATATTTTTTGGTGGAGGATCCGTTATGGTGTGGGTGGTATTTCTTTGACCGCACGTACGGACCTAGTGGTCATACAAAATGGAACTGTTACAGCGGAAAGGTACATATTGGAGATCCTGGAGCAACATGTAGTACCATTCGGTCCTTATATCGGTGAACATTTCTTACTAATGCAAGATAATGCCAGACCTCACGCTGCACAGATCGTCAGAAATTATCTAGAAGAGGTAGAAATTAACACTATGGAATGGCCAGCACATAGTCCGGATTTAAATCCGATTGAAAATATCTGGGATATACTTGGTAGGCGATTAAGAGCGACACCGCTCCAACCAAACAACTTACAGGAAGTGGGAGAGAGGCTGATGCAGATTTGGAGAGAACTAGACCAAAATGAAATACGGCAATTAATTTTAAGTATGGGCCATCGATGTGAGGCTGTTATACATAGTAGAGGTGGAAACACTCGTTATTAAGACTTTTTTCATATTTAGTTTACTTTTCTTATCATTATTTTTTTAGAATTTTCCGTTTTATTTTTTTTTTCTCCTGTACTTCAACATTTTCTGATAATTAGAAAATTGTTATAATTACTAATAAAATGTAGAATAAATCTGGTGAAGTTTTATTTTTTATTCTTTGCCTGTTTACAAATAAAATTGATTTATTGAAGTGGTGCGTTAATTTCTTGGAGAAGTGTATATCAATAAATTATGAAGTTTTGTTGAGCAGATGCTTGCGGTCCTCAGGTTACAGTTTTTGTGTATTTCTCACTGTCGCTAAGATAATGGTGGTGTATATTTTACTTTTATGCACTCTTAGTACACTTTTATACATAACTCGCTTCCTACTGATTTTTGATAGGATTTTAACAATAGTTAAACTCATTCCATTCGAAAATAAATATAATTTAAGTTTATGCTCGTACTGCAGCAAAAGATGAAGAAGAACTAGAACAGTGCTGCAATAAATTGGAATAAGCATTAGATATAACCCAAAAACTTCTTATTCTTCGGCCTGTTTTACTTCGGTTTTTAGCATCAATTGACGTTGTTTGACCATCTTTTCCTCGGTCGTCCCAATGATCTTCTTCCATTTAGCGATTTGTTTCTTGCTATTCGTACTATTCTATTTTCTGTCATTATTTCGATGTGTTGATTCCATTCCACTTTTCTTCTTTTGGTCCACGCGTTTATTTCCTCTATACCACATCTCACTCGTATTTCCTCACTTCTTACTCTGTCTCTTAGAGTTGTTTGTTATTTTTCGTAAGATTTTCATTTCTATTGTTTCCAGCAGTCTTTGTGTTTTCGCCGTATCTGCTCTTGTTTCCGCTGTGTACGTCATTATTGGTCTTATTGTTGATTTATATATCCTGGTTTTTGTTTCCGTTGTGAGGTATTTGTTTCTCCAGATTGTGTTGTTGAGACATCCTGCTGCTCTGTTTGCCATGTTCACTGTTTTTTACTTCTTTCACTTTTCCGTACTTGACAGTTTTATTCCCAAGTATTCAGTTTCCATCACTTGTTCTATTATTTTGTTATTTACGACTAGTTTACATCGTCTCGGTTCCCTGATATC